GCTGACAAATTGACCTTTGGACAGGATTTGACTTTGATGACTCCCCATGCCATTGAGCCCTTGTTGAATAGCTCACCTAGCAAATGGCTGTCTAATGCCAGACTGTTACAATATCAAGGACTCCTATTAGAACAGCCACACACTAAGTTTGCCACCACCACTAGCCTCAATCTGGCTACTCTACTCCCAGAATCTAATGAACAAATGCCCATCCATGATTGCCTCAAGACTCTTGAAAACTTGAGGGGAGGATGTCCGGACTTGACAGACCAGGCCCTCCCCCGTGCAGAGATAATGTTCTATACTGATGGGTGCAGTTTCGTTTGTGATGGTGTATGGTATGCTGGAGCAGCGGTGGTCAACCAGGACCAACAGGTGAAATGGGAGCAGGGGCTACCTCAAGGGACATCAGCACAGAGGGCTGAGCTGATTGCTTTGACTAAGGCTCGGAATTGGGAAAAGGAAAAAGGATAAATATATTCACTGATAGCCATTATGCTTTTGCCACCGCCCATGTACATCAGGAGATTTATCAAAATAGAGGGCTGTTGACCTCCGAAGGAAAGGAAATTAAAAACAAGACTGAGATATTGGCATTGCTACAAGCCATCTGGATGCCCCGAGAGGTTGCCATCATCCATTGCCGTGGGCACCAAAAGGGGTCTTGCCCAGAGATAACTAGTAATAATGCTGCTGATGGAGCGGCAAAACAAGCTGCCCAAAAAATCAGTGGGGAAGCAACTGGTTCTGCTACCCACGCCAGTACTCCCAGAAAAATCTGAATACACAGATAAAGAGGTGGCAGAAATGAACAGGAAGCACTGGACTCAAGGAAAATATGGGTGGTGGATGACACATGATGGAAAGGTGGTGCTCCCCGCCACTGTAGCAGACACGTTGTGCAAACTACATGAGTCCACCCACCTCGGCAAAAAAAAGATGATGGCTGCCCTGCGACCCCATTTTGTCAGTGAGGGGTTGGCCCGAAAGGCCCAGGACATGGTGAAACAGTGTCCCACCTGCCTCAAGGTAAATGCAAATCGGGACCCCAGGGGTCCAACACAGAGGTTTAACTCCAGGAGATCGTTGTGAATTGGACTTTACTGAAATGAAGCCTGACATGTATGGGTATAAATATTTGTTAGTTTTTGTCGATACCTTTTCAAGATGGATAGAAACATACCCCACTAAAAGGGAGACAGCTGAAGTAACAGTCAAAAAGCTCTTGACAGAAATAGTTCCCTGTTTTGGCTTGCCCTTAGCTCTAGGGTCCGACAATGGTCCAGCTTTTACAGCTAAGATATCTAAATTAATTAGTAATATCTTTGGAATAAAGTGGAATCTACACTGTGCCTATAGGCCTCAAAGTTCAGGACAGGTAGAAAGAACAAATCGAACTTCAAAGGAGATTCTGACTAAATTATGCTTGGAGACTGAACTAGGTTGGGTAGAGCTTCTCCCTTTTGCCCTCCTCCGAACGAGGTGCACTCCCAAGCCTCCCCTCAATCTGTCCCCCTTCCAGATTGTTTATGGGTGATCTCCCCCAATCATTGCATTAGTAGATGTAGAATTAAAGGAAAATTTTCCCACCTTCGACTCCTTAAATCCTTAAAAGCAGTTCATCAGCTTCAGTCAGCGCTACGTGAGACATTACAAAAGGAAATGACTAGTCCCAATGAAAAACCTTTACAACCTTTACCCTATAAGCCAGGAGATTTGGTTTTTATTCACAGGTTTGATTCCAAGACCCTGGAACCTCATTGGAAGGGACTGGTTACTGTTGTCCTGTCAGCTCCCTTGGCGGTGAAGGTGGCTGGATATTCTGCCTGGATACATCGCAACCATCTGAAAACAGGATGCCCTACAGACATCAAAAAGGACAAATGGAAGGTTATCAGCCAACCAGGTGACCAAAAGCTAAGATTGGAGTGGGTTGGAGATGTTTTGCCTTCATGATAATATTCTCTGGGACACTGGCAGTATTGCCCCGAAGAGGACTAGATCACAGAAAAAAATGTATGGATTCAATTGGCAAACTCACTTAATTTGTCTGAATTTTGTCTAAATGTTGATGTAAATTTCCATCATGTATTGGGGACATGCCTCATGTCGTAAACCTAAAAATGCTGTCAAATTATATACACCCAAGGTAATTATGTCAAATAATACCCAATGTGCTATGTATGAAAATTGTACAACCAAATGTCTGAGGATAAAACAGTCAGAAGGGATGTCCTGCCATATAAAACAAAAAATCGTGTATACCAATTGCCATATCTCCCTGCCAATAGGATGGTTTTACACCTGTGAAGGAATAACTTTCAATTATATCCCAGCCAATTTAACCAAGACCCGTTGCTGCTTGAGTCATCTAGTTGTGGTTCTACCATATAGAACTGATTTGATTATGCCAAACAGAACTAAACGTTGGTCACCCTATACTGCACCAGGATGT